TCACTAATTGGTGTGATTCTTTACAAGCTCGGTCGATCGACCTCCACTGTAGGCCATCGTGAAGATTAATACAGCCACGATCCTACGAGAAGATGCTTTGTTTAGGGCCAAGCAAGAACAAGAGGCAGCAAAGATCAATGCTTATGAAGCAGAATTGCGGGACAGCAGTGACTTTCACCGTTGGCAGACAGAGATGCGTGCCCAGGACCAGAAGACTCGCTTGGAGCAGATAGCCCGGACGCGAGTTCTTGCAAAGGCATCCGCTGAGGAGGCGCACCAAGCTAAGCTAAATCAGTTGTTAGATAACCGACAACTTGCGGCTCGGGGTGTCGAGGAGGGCCGTGCTATGCAGAAACAACGTCAGCTTGAGACAGAAATGACGTTATTTAAAAAAAAGCACCTCGTTGGGGAAGTTAAGGAAGAGCGCGAGACTGCACCGAAACTTGCGGTCGAGAGCGTCCTGGAAAGGAAGAATCAAATTCGCAAGGGCGTCCAGCATGACATGGAGACGCGGCTCAAGCACCGCCAGGATGAAAATGATGCGCGAGCAAAGGCGCTGGCCGAGCATGTCAAGCGACTCAAAGCAGAGCAAAGTGTCCACCGAGACCACACAAATTTCTTTGACCCAACAGACACAGTCGGGCTTGGCCTGCTTGATGAGATGTCCCTGGTTGAGATGCAGGAGCGCCTCACCAGAAATCGCAAGCGCGATCAGGAGAACTGCGAGCAGAAGCGTAAAGAACTAGTGGTAGCCAGGAACGCAAAGCGCGATCGTCTAGCAGAGCGCGTCAAGAACATAAAAAAAGTCAGAGAGGCCGCTGCCGAGAAAAATCACAAGACAAGCCAATACCAGTCTCAATGTGCTGCTGATCTCAAGACTGCTATCCAGCACCGGGAGGAGCGCCTTCTCTTAGACCTTGTCGAAGAGCTTGAGATCAAGCGCACAGTGCTGAGCAGCTACCGCGAAAAGCTAAGGGATGAGGCGGAACGAACTAAGAAGGACCAGCTGTTTGCAGGCGCTGGCGAGCAGCTCAAGGAGAAGAAAGCGCACGAGGAGCTCCTCAAAGGGGCTGAAAGAATGGCCAAGAATACGCAGCGCCGCTCGCTCGAGAGAACCGCGATGTATGAGACCACCAAATCGAGAGAACTCCACCAGAATACTCACAATCGCATACTTAAAGAAGCGTCGCATCGTAAGACCCAAACTCGTAAGGAAGGATTAGTAAAAGAGGCGGCACATGAGATGATGTGTATTCAAAAAGAAGAAATCGCTGAAAAAAAAAAGAAATACTTTAATCAAAAAAAGGCACACCGAGAAAGGATGGAGACTATTGTCGACCCATATACTGAGCGCATCAACGAGCTGTCAGTAACTCGTGCTCGGAGACATGCTGCTCACAGGCAAGAGGTAGCCCTTGGCATCCAGTAGATTGCAAATCAACAGCAAGTGTGCCACTGGATAAGTTCTTCTTTGTAAAATAAGCTTATGATGTCAATCCGCACCTTCTATCCCGCAGGCTAGCCGCCTGGCTAGAGCGGTACCGAAACTCTATACGATCCAAGGTTGGCCTTTCTCTATGGCGTGTGATGTGGCTTTGGGCAGCGAGCCTGCAGGGCGTGTATCATCATTCCGCGCAATATACTCGCTTGTTCTGGTCGTCCTCGAGGGCCCTGTTATATCGCAGAGGCTCAGGGCCGGGAACTGCGAGTGCAAGTCAATCGGGCCTGGTCGAGTTCTATCCGGCTCTTGCGAATAAGCCGCGCAAAATTGGTTAATAAAGCGGCGCGCGAGCGGTGGTAATAGGCTGCTCTACTGGGGAATGCGTACCCATGCCATGCAAATCGCCACAACGTAGCATTCATGGGTAAGATTGTCCAGGGGGTTTGACGCTAACCCTAGCTTTCCCCGGGGGAAGCGTCCCCGGGCAGCCCAGCGTTGCGATGGGCTGCCCTTGTTCTCCAACTTGTTCTCCACGTAAGTTTTGACTGTGAGCCATTTTTTGGGTTGTTGACTTCACCGTAGGCTTGATCTGAGATCAGCCCCCCCAGGCTTTGCTCGTTTTGTCAGATCTGGGCTAAAACGCGTCTTTCGCTAGCCGATGCAGCGGTTCCAGGACTTGGCGCGGCGCTCGGTCTGTGGACCTTGCCGCGCCTCGGGCCCGGCTGCGAGTCGCTCGGGAAAGACCATCGGTCGAAGGCGAGCAACTTAGTTCGCGTCGGGGCAGCCCGTGGATGACGAGAACGGCCGTTAATGGTGGGGGGCGACCGACGAGAGGCCCAACTTAGTTCCAGGGCTCGAGCGGCCTGAGCGCGAGGCACCAGCGCATCCGCATAGCCGCATAAAACCACCGAGAAAAGGCTTCTGCCAGCGGCAAATACGTCGGCGGGTACTCCCCGAGAAGCGCAGCGACGACGCCGTCGCTCATGTTGCACTGCAACCCCTCACGTTGAGGTCGATTTATGCCCATTTCGTCTAGTATCCGCCAGAGATATACAGCGCCGAACGTTACCATGTCGTCTACCCCGGCGGTGTCGATTGGCAATTACAAGGGCGTAATGCTATGTAACAGACCATTCGTGGGCATGGTCGGTACGTCCAAAGGTGTAGCTGCATCCGCCAAACAAGCGTTCGTGTGCGGCAATGTCGGTGATAAACCGGGCACGAATGTGCCTATTTCATCGAAGGAAAAGGCAGCCACTACAGACCAACACCCGCGGAAGGAAACTGCACTGCAGCGACATCGGAAGTATGTATGACCGAGCATTAAGCCACCTTACTACTAGGTCTACTAGATGACTTATTCGGTAGGTGGCTCGCAGAGCTCCAGGCGACCAAGGAACAGCTAGAGAAACACTATCTTGCGGTTAGTTCCGGCAGAGTCACATTAGCTTGAGACGTTCACACACTAGTTGAGTTACCTTCGTACATCCTAGGATGTCCAAATGAAAGAAGATCGCCATAAACGATTCATGGAACGTGAAGCGAGGATGCGTGCAATGGTGCGCAAAGCAAAGGATTCAGTGCTCGACTTTGAATCACAAGCCAAAGATGAGCACGGAGAAGAGACCTCCGTTGAGAAGGCATCATTTGAAGACTCAACCCGTGAGACCTATCCAACTGTCGCTGACGGCAAGAGTCCAGCACCTCCATCTCGGCCAATGTGGGCACTCACTGAGCAGCAGGCGCTTAGTTCCGTAGATTGCGCCGAAAAGAATGAAGCGGATGACCTCCTCGACTTTGCTAATGGCCTAGATTTTGATAAGTATATCAGTGACTCGGAAGTGTCCGCATTGATAGAAAATGTGCGATCTCGCATCACTGAACTCGAAGCTAGTCAGCTTCCCACTCCCAAGCCTGCTCAATCACTAGCCACTAGACCTACTATGAATCTCACGGCAGAGCACCTACCCTGCATGTCAGAACAAGGTGATGAAGACACTTCTGTGGTTGGAGATGAGTGCGCATCTGTAGCGCGATCTGTCCTTGAAGCTGATGATACGGGCAAGATCATGGGCGCTGTTCACTCGCATAAGTCCTTGACCGCAATTGCTCAGCGCTCGAAAGCTGCGCTGGCTGAAACATTAAGCACTGTCAGTGAAGAGATCATTGCGCCTCCTCTTGTGATGAAGCACACAGATGATGCTGGCGCACGTTTGGAAGGGAAGAATAGCGTCTCTAATCTCCCTTACATGCACAGAAACCCAGCGGTTTGAGCAACCGCTGCTGCAGTCGCAAAGTGCGCTTGTGTTGCACTCGGTGCGGGTCAACACCCAATAAAAAGCGACCTGCGCTGGCCCGCTGCGGACCGGCAAGTGGTATTGGGAGTCGCGCGAGGGCCCGGCTTAACCGGACAATATAAAGAAAACGAACGTGGTCGGGGGGGGGTTAGCCGTATACGGGCCACTGGCCGCCTGCAGCCGGAATCTTGTGGAGGAATTTCTGTAGCTTAGTGGCCCGCTGCGCTCCTAGTTATTCGCTATTTCTTATGGGTATGGTACCTTGGTATCTTCTTACTTCCCTCTTCTCTTGCTACTTTCTTGGTACGTCGGTTTGTGTGGCGGGGTCGGTGTCGGTTAGTTACTGGGGGCCCGGGTGTTTTAAAACTCCAACTTGAAGTACCCATTTTAGTGAAGGGTAGCCTGGCTAATTTACTTTACATTTGGTGGACATTAGGGGAAGCATGTCATCTAGAATGGAGGAGCTACTGCAGCGGGCAGAAGAGTACAGGATGTTAAGAGAGCTTATGCTAGCAGAGGAAAAGTCGGCGGGGGAGACTCGGAGCCATCCGTAGGGACGAATACAGACTGAGGTCACGGTCTTTTTGGTCTGTTTGGGTTTTAAACCGAGGTCTGTGGTCTGTTAGGGCTTTTGGGGTCTTAAACCGAGGCCTCTTTGACGAAATTCCGTACGTCTTCGGAAATGGCAAATCAATGCTCCGCTGAGTGATTTTGAAAAAGAACCCCCGGCGGCGGTCTCGGCGCGCCGCGTCACCGCCCGTCGAGCCATCGATCGCCGTCGACAGATACGTAAGATCTCGATGATCTCGTAGTTTATCGCGCACGCTAACAGTGATCATGGGATTGGAGCATTCCGAGCCTTATTTAGATGGAATCATTGTGCGCTTGGACACTGACCATCGGAATCTGACCTTTTTGTTAAGCACTCGTCAGGGCAGCTAGAGAGAGAGGGGGGGGAGAGAGAGAGAGAAAGGTCTGTCTATATTCTTTGCATAAAAGCTCGTTCCAAGGTCGTGCTAGAATCGCATCGCCCCCCGGTCCTGGGCGCTATGCAGCTTCTGCCCTGTTGACATGGGCATTCCTCTAGTTCTTTGCTCATGCTAGTGGATTAGAATGCATTAAGAGTACCAGCAGGATGCGCAGTAGGAGCACAGTGTTAAAAAGGTGCACTACAACATCAAGGTGCAGTTCACCAAGGTGGTGCAGAAACCTTTCTGTCTCTCTACGCTCCTTGCCCACATGGAACAGGATGGCATGACTCTAAGGCGCACCTTGCTCGATCCGGGCGGCACTAGCAGAGAGGGCGCTAGTGAAATTTAAAGACCATGACTTTTTTATATTTGGGCACTCCGAAATTTGTTGTAGGCAACCCTAAGATACAAGCCACTCCCAGGCGCCGAATAAGCGAAGTACAATTAATTGTGACGCGGTTCGCACATGTTACGGCGAAGAATATCCTCGATCGAACCAAGGATACGATTGAACGTACTGCGATCCAACGACAACAACCTACTTCGAGGAGTCAATATGTACTCCAGGATCAGGCTCCAGAGTAGGAACGTCAATGTGCCACCACTTTCAGCAGCAACCACGGTTGCCTGGCGAGGCTTGCTCGTAAGTAGCGCAATTTCACCAAAATAGTCGCCAACCTACCAAGGCAAGTCGAGAGAAACATAGCTCTACCAAGGTCAGGCGCTAGCTGCCGACAGTTAAGCGTGCCACCTCTTGCTGCTTCCCCTGGGCATCAGCCTGAGTGCACACCACAGAGCCCTGTTTTATTATATAGAAATTGGAACCTAA